AAAAAAAAAAAGCTCAAATCCCATGCTAACAATTATGAATTACTGTCATACATCCAACGACTGTCGTTTTGAGCTTTTCTCTTTGTTGGCAAACCGTTGGACTGTTCTTCTTGCAATAGGCAACCAAATCTTTCTGGTTCTTTCCTCTTTCACATTATTTTCAAACACAGAACAAGACTCTGTGATTCTGTTCTTCACTCCGAAATCGCGATATCTTGAAAGAGAAGTGATTTCCGAGACTGATCTTTTCTCACCGGAATTCAACATAGAGCTTGAAGCTGAAGTACTTGTTACTCCAACCTTGCTCTGAAACGATTTTCTGAACTCCACTTCTTTCTTGACCTCCATGATTTCCTCATTCTCTTCCACTTTTCCAGTAGACGACATGTCCTTGTTCCAATCCGTCGAAGAGAATCGACTGCTTGACATGTCGTTGAGCATCTCGGAGTTCAAGAATATGAGGTCAGAAGAACTCAAATTGCTCCACCTGCTGTTGAAGAGGAAGTCTGATACAGTTATCTTGTGGTTGTGCTTATGGAAAACTTTCTGATCTGCTTCGGTTTCTTGTTGGATTAACAATTCCTCTTCTTTATGATGACCCTTTTCATGAATCGTCCTAAAGCTGCTTCCTATGCTGAATCTTGATGACCCTCCATGGCTTTCTTCTCTCTCGACAAATAACTCCATGTTGTTTGAGTCTTCTCTCAGCTCTGATTGTTTGTTCGATAAGAATCTCATACTATTTGAGTAAGTGATGAGTTTCAAATCCTCAGAGCTCACTTTTTGCCTGCAAAGAGGACAGCTCGAGTGCTTCTCAAGCCAATTATCAATGCAGTTCACGTGAAAGGCGTGTTTGCAATTTGGCAGCAATCGAAGAACTTCGACATCTTCGAATTTCGATAGACAGACTACACATTCCAGGCCTTCCTTTGAGCCCTTAAGGGATGAGAATCTGAAGAAAGGAAGTGACTCAACCACTGTCTTGTCTATGCCTGAAAATCTATTGCTTGAGCTAATTAGTCCTATATTATTCTGCGGCGGATTTGTACCCGCAGACTCTGTAGTTGTATTGCAGAATTTTACATATACAAGTAGAAGAAAAGTTATCACAGACATAACACCCAGCAATCCTATAACAACAGCAAGGCTTGGTTGAAGAGTTGGATTTTCCGACGAAGAATGCTCCGACTGGTTTGTCGTGTCTGCTTCGACATGAAGCAGAACCAAACTGAGATGGAAAATGACCACAATTAACTGATTCATGGGGAAAAAATAATAACAAGAATTATTATAAGCACCAATGGAAAAGATTTGTTTTAGGACAAAAAGGTTTGCACATATGTTTGTTTAAAAAACTTGCATTTTGGAATGGAGTAGTATAGGATCTTATTTATATGCAATATGGCCCCTTTTGTGTTTCTGCAGAAAAGTGTGTTTCTGCAGAAAAGGGGTGTTTCATATTATTTTAACGGTTGCTTAGCTATCTAAATTTGGTAAATCTGTTTTTAATTGATTAGTCAGACAATTGTGGAGCTTTGGCTTATGGTAGACTTTTTTTGGGCAATGAAACAACATTATTGTATTAAAGAAAAAGGAATTGACATCATGTTTGTAGAGGTTTTGGTAAGAATTGTTCTTTCCATTTGTCATATTTTATTAATTTAACAATGTGATTGACCATTAATATTATGGTACTTGTAAATCCATATGTACAAGACAAAGAAAGAAACAATGAAACTTGGTCGAGGAATTTGACATTTTCAAGTTTTCCATGTGCAAACTCTCGAGTTATGCCCATGCTAACTTTTTCTGCTGAATAATTATCATAATAATTAGCTGAAAAAATTATCATTGCAATAGGACGTGATGATGATTTCCACCAGTAATTATCATTATAATTAGCTGAAAAAAATGAAATTTACTATTTCGCGAAGATAACAATGCCTACAAAGCAACTCTAAGTGATAATTTCCTTGGTATTCAAATTGAGAACATATACGACAAATCGGTGCCTAAAAAACAGTCTTAACATTTTTGTCAAAATGTCTAGGTATATCATGCAAAGCGACGTATTCATTATATCGTACCATATAATCCTACATTAACCATTAACAATAAAGAAACTACAAAGAACTAAATAAATGCATCAACAACTATTGTCATTCAAATCCCTTACAGTTGATTTATTTCTGATCTTAGATTTGTAAAAATGAGTTGCTTTTCGAGTATAAGCACCAATACACAAGGTCGTGTTCGTGCATTGGCTGCAAATCGGAGGTAAACAACCATAGGAGAAAGCTGTGGCTTGTTCAAATGAAAAGAGAAAACTTAAGAGTGGGGGAAGTGTCAAAAGCAAAGAGTTTTAGCTGAAAATTGAGGGGCATTTTTGCTATTTCAATTTCACCTCAACAGTTGCATATGGCGTGGGAGTGGTAGAAAAATAAAGTATTCAAAATGATAGATATGTTTGAAATACTTTCTTTTTTATATGAGTTTAAACTTTCTAATAGTAAGTGGAGGCTAAAAAAAGAACGGATGACCCTCATTACATTCCTTTACAATTAAGTAAACTAAACATGCTCTTAATAAGAGCATACAAAATTCTACTTTGAACATACTTGAAGAAGCAAGCAATGATTATTACTACACATTTTGTTGGATTAGGCTTAGGCCCAAAATTGCCAAAGCCCAAAGTTCATGATTCAAGTCTACAAAATTGTGTGGACTAAATTTAGCTAAGTAGCTAAATAGTGGCCAAGTAAAATGAATAGTCACAAATTGATCAATTCTTAGCCACAAGTTTTTCGTAGCTACGGTTCATTTTTGGAGCTTATATAATGGGGCTTGGAGGAAGGGCTTAAGCATTTCATTCTCACCCTTCAAAGAAAATTCTCATAGTGTGAGAGAAATGTAGTGCGTGTTTGGAACCTTTTTTAAAACGGTTTTCACGTATTTTGAGAAACAAAAAATGAAAATGAAAACGAAACAACGTTTGTTTAGCAAATGTTTTGAAAACGAAAATAAAAATAAAAACAGTGAAAATGGTTATTGTGAATGAATTAGAAAATAGTTGAAAGTTGTTTTCACTTTTTTATTTTCATTTTTTAGTACTTATCAACAATATTATAATATATT